TTTATTCTTTACATAAACTATAAGAGCACTTTTGCTTAAAAATGCTTATTAACAGCAATATCTTATAGCAACACACTTTGGGAAATGTACGCTTTCTACTTAAATATTGTATCACCTTAAGTCATGCAAATGAACTTCATTCTGTAGCCTATACAGTTAAGAATTTGATCAGCAAAATAGGGCTATTGAAATTGTTTTATCACTTATTTTTATTTTTATTTATTTATTTATTTATTTATTTTTTTTAGGATCCGAACTCGCGGCCTTGGTGTTAGCAGCACCGTACTCTACCGAGTGAGCCACGGGCCGGCCCTTTATCACTTACTTTTAAAGTTTACTTTCAGAGTGGAATGGGGTGAGATTTTGTGAAGTCTGAGTCTTCAAAATCTGAGACACGACTTTTCCTATTACAGGTCAATCCAGCTGAATCATAGGCAAGAAATATGCAGATGGATTACAGTTATTCTGATTGGGATATGGCCATGATAGCCAGCCAGCCAACAATACATTCATGAAAACAATGGATATTTTTTCATTTCATTGCTTTTTGTGAGACATGGCAATGACGGTTTGTGCTAGATAACTCCAAGAATGTAATTGAATTCTAGAGTTATTGTTTTTTTTTTTTTCTTAAAGGTGACTGGTAGGGGATCTTAACCCTTGACTTGGTGTTGTCAGCACCACGCTCAGCCAGTGAACCAACCGGCCATCCCTATGTGGGATCCGAGCCTGTGGCCTTGGTATTATCAGCACCGCACTCTCCCAAGTGAGCCACGGGCCAGCCCTAGAGTTATTGTTCTAAACCCACTTATGAGAAACAAAAATGTATCTTTCTTTAAAAGTAATCCATGATGGGCCGGCCCGGTGGCGCACTGCTGCAGTGCGCCGCTTGGGAAGCGCGGTGGCGCTCCCGCAGAGGGTTCGGATCCCACGTGCAGCCCGGCGGCTCACTGGCTGAGCGAGGAGCGGGGGCAACACCGAGGGGTGCGATCCCGTTGCCCGTCCCGGTCTGGTCCGGGTGCAACACTGAGGGTTGCGATCCGTTGCCGGTCACGAAAAAAAAAAAAAAGTAATCCATGATGGGCCGGCCCGGTGGCGCACTGCTGCAGTGCGCCGCTTGGGAAGCGCGGTGGCGCTCCCGCAGAGGGTTCGGATCCCACGTGCAGCCCGGCGGCTCACTGGCTGAGCGAGGAGCGGGGGCAACACCGAGGGGTGCGATCCCGTTGCCCGTCCCGGTCTGGTCCGGGTGCAACACTGAGGGTTGCGATCCGTTGCCGGTCACGAAAAAAAAAAAAAAAAGACAAAAAAAAAAAAAAGTAATCCATGAAATGCTTGCTTGAAAGATAAAAATGTTTAGTCTTATGAAAGTTTTCATTGACAAATAATAAATCACAGAATTCCCAAGATGTTTTTTCCTAAAGCATAGTAAATATTTTAAAAATGTTTCACTCTTGCTCTTGATATTGTTACCGGTGCCCAAATTTCGGCTGCTCTCTGCTCAGAAACATAAGATTCGTTGGTCCCAAATGTTGGTGCAAGGCAGGAAATTTATCATCAGATGTCCGAGGAGACAGCTAAACTATGACAATCTCAGAGTCTTAGGGTTGGAGGGTATCGTTATATAAGACAAAAGGACAAAGGGAGAAGTGTATTGAAAAATGCCACAGAAATAGGGTCAGTGATTACATATAGATCAGCATGTTTTAATCTCTATCCTTTTGCTCAGTCCTTCTTCGCTTTGACTGTATCTCCTTCCCAGAACATCTGTAACTTCAAATAAGACTTAGTCTTGCAAGTTACAGTTATGGCCTTGCTTTATTACTCCTACAAACTGCAGTGATTGTTCATTGCTCAAGCAGAATTCTTCCCTCAGCATTAAGCTCAACATGGCTACCTTTATGCTAAGCTAATATTTGTGATGCTCATCAATATTGATAACTATGCAGGGTAAACCACATAGACTTAAGTGTATCTTGGGTTGAAGGACCTTACTGTATTCCAAATGTCCTGGGAATCCACAGTGTACCCCAAATCAGAGTCTGGGGGACGTTAAAAGAGACTGGAATAGGACATGACCTAAAGGTGACCAGATCCTCATCTCTGACTTTATCTACTTTCCAGTTCACAGAATGCATATGACAAACAGCAAGTCTGGTGTTTGGGAGCGGGGGAAGGTAAAACTAGGGGTGGAGGTGGGAGTGATATGACTAAAAAAATGTCAGACTAGATTCTTGTTCTTCAGAGGGCACTGAGAAGCAAGAGAGTAGAATTCCTTGCTAAGCAATTTCCCTCGAGTCATTGTTGACCTTAGGGACTGCAGGCGATCACAGGCTTCCTCCCTTCTGGTTCTGAATCAGTTGAGAGGTAGGCACACAAATGTAATGGAAATCAAAATGTGTTTTTATGAATGGTAAAGCTGGGCTAGATGGTATATGGCATAGCCTGCACCTCTGGCCTAGGGAGGGGCCTTCTACCAGCCAGAGTTTGATCTTTCAGTTCTACCTCGGGTAGGGAGAGCTGTGCTTCAGACCACACTTCACCTGCCTCTTCTGGGAAGGGAGTCTCCACCCTCACTCCCTGTCAGACACAGAGAGGAGACTCGGGGGGTCATTGGATTCTGGAAGGTGGGCCCTTGAGCCCTCCCCAGCTCTGCCTGATACGTGGGAACAAAATCAGAGAGGACAGTGTGCAGGCAGGTCTCAGCCAGAGAGAGTGAGCAAGAGGCATGGACTTTACCCCCATCTGCCCGGTCTTGTTGTTCCCTCCTCCCCTAGGGGCAGAGCTGGGAGCAAATTTCTTGCTTCTCTGAGAGGACGAAGTGGGAACAGAATTGACTATTTTCTGGGCCAAAGACAGAACATGAGAAGAAGGAGAGAAGCATTCCCTTGGCTGTTATGCAACTCAGTCTTATCCTCTCAGAAGAACATTCCCAAATAGGTGGGTCCTGGAAGCTATATTTCTGAATAAGCTCAAGTTTTAATCAGGGCAGAGCTGGCTAACATCTACTCCCTGCTGCTCATGGGTGGGAGGAAGATGTAATTTGCAGTTTGAACATTTGCAACTGAAAGTTGAGACCCATCCTGGAAAGGAGCCAAGGATTCCCTCCTGAGAACCCCACAGGACTTATTTGGAGAGAAGAAAGTAATTTATATTTATTTTTATTTGAAACTGTCCTGAGGAATGAAAGGTGTTTCCCTTCTGAATTTGTCAGTCAGGGGGAGAAAAGCCCTGTGAGGGAGATGGGGGTACCTAGATACATATCCGAGGGCTAAGTTAAGATTTAGTGAAAGTTAGAAAATTAGTTTCATCTCTTTTTTTTTTTTTAAAAGATGACCGGTAAGGGGATCTTAACCCTTGACTTGGTGTTGTCAGCACCACACTCAGCCAGTGGGCAAACCGGCCATCCCTATATGGGATCCGAACCCGGGGCCTTGGTGTTATCAGCACCACACTCTCCCGAGTGAGCCACGGGCCGGCCCAAATTAGTTTCATCTCTGATATCCTTGTTCTGATCTTCATTTGGCCAAAGCCCTCCCACATGGTTCCCTCATCTTTCAGATGACCTTTCCTTCCATCTAAACTTGTCCAAACAGGCATTCCTTCATTCCTTCAAGGGAAGCTCATCAGTTGATAGTAGGAGAAAAATATGCTAATTAAAATAATTAACAATGAATTATTAATTATTAGGTCTCTTTAGCCACCTCTGATGCATTTATATTTTAAGAGAACAGTGCATTTACAGGAAAAAAAAAAATCTCATCAGTTTAAATTTCAGGCAGAATTCTGAAGCTATTTGTCTGGAAAAGGGAGATGGAGTTGTTCCCAACACCGTGCAGACAACACAGCCTTCTGTGAAATGTGGAATGAGTAAGGACCAGGCACAGACTCAGCAGAGGTCAAGAACAAGGAAGGCAAAGAAATGACCATTGATTGGTGTAGAATGAGGTCACTGGTAAGTTAAAGGTATTGGGGAGTAGTAGTGACAATGGAAGATAAAGCAGGTAGCATGCATTGGATTCTACCAGCAGTTTCAGGTACTTAGTATCTGCCAAACCCTGGACTGGGTACAACCAAAGCCTGAGGAAAAGAATATACTCATTTGGGAGGTCAGTACAGTGCTTGAGAAGGGGAGTAGAATGGAACATTTTAATACTCTGGACACTGGTGAGTGGACTTCCCTTTTTCTAAGCAAACCCCTAGCCTTGAACAAAGGAAATGCCAACTTCTCTCTTTCTATCTGCAGAACTCCTGCACATGCTCCACCTCCATGCTGAGGTCTGCCCGGAGCCAATCTTCTTATGCATCTGAATATGTACTCTGTTTCTCCCCAGGTAATCCCTTTGCTCAGTCAAGCTGGTAACTGGTGGATACCTGATGTCCTTCGCATGTCTCTGTTCACTTGCCTCTGTTCTCACTCCAAGCTGGGACTGTTTACGCCACTTTTGAGTCCTGCACATCTTTCAAAGCTGGCTCAAGAACTCAGGTACTTCCTTCTCTGGGCAGGCTCCCCTGAGTACCAGGATTTCTCCCCTCCCCAAAATGCAAGTAGTAATAATCAGTACCTGCCAGCTGTCAAAAAAAAAAAAAAAAAAAAAAAAAATGATGATCACAGCAATAATAGTAATGCTTTACACTTAAATAGTTCTAAGAATTTTTCAAAGTGCTCCCACATACAGTACTTTGTTACATTTATGCACCACAGGATTGTCCAAAAGATGGTAAGGAATTAATATTACTCCTGCCTAAAAACAAAACAAACAACACAATCAACAAGGAAACTGAGGTGCAGAAAGAATAAATGCTTTTCCCAAAGCCACATGCTCTAGGATGCATTGCATCTGCCATCTCGGTCTCTCTGATTTAAGGCACCGTCGCCGATTAAATGTTGTCTTGCACTGTTTTCAAATTATTTCATGTTGCTAAGTCTTGGCTCTCTAATAAGATGATACTTTTCTTCAGGGCAGGAAAAATCTCTTGTGTTTTTTGGCAGTTCGTCAGCATCCAGAATTATATTGAGTGCACAACTGGGGCTTAGAAAATGCTACAGTGAAGATGTGGAGAGTCACAGGTTTATCTTCCTGCACATTGTGAGTATGAACCTTTGAGTTTGCTGGGAGGCACCATGGCCCTCTGATTCTTTATTAGTCTGTTTTCTGTTGCTTATAACAGAATACCTGGAACTGAGTAGCTATGAAGAAATGAAATATATTTCTTACAATTTTGGAGGCTGGGAGTTCCAAGGTCCAGGGAACACATCTGGTGAGAGCCTTCTTCTGGGTGGGAACTCTCTACAGGTTTCCACGGTGATGCAGGATATCACCTGGTGAGAGAAGCAAGAGCTCTGCATGTGTTGCTTATAAAGTCACCAGTCCACACCCATGATAACTCATCACTCCACGAATGGATTAATCCATTCATGAGAGCATAGTCCCCAATCACCTCTCAAAGGTGATTATCAGATAATCACCTTTCAAATATCATAATCAGATTTCCTACCCTCTTGACACTGTTATGGGGGTGGGGATCAAGTTTCCAACACATGAACTTTTGGGGAACACATTTGACCAATAGCAGATTCCATTTGACCCTATTTTGGGTGTTGGCGTGTCTGGAAGTCACAGAGCACACATAGACTGAGGAGTAGCTCTCTGAGATGGTAGCTACCATGACTAATCTAAAAGGACTTCAGTGTTGGTAGAAAGATGGGAAGGAATGAAATACTTGTGTCACCTTCATAGCATCTATAATATTGAGGCATGCACCCTGACCCTTTGAACCACCTGATGTGAAATTCCTTGCCTCCCTTTCTCTCATCAGTGTGGCATTTTGACCTATACCTGGTCCAGTGGGGAAGAGAGGAAATAATGAATAACCTGATTCCATGGCTGGCACAGTGATAATGCTGGCGAAGAGAACACGCTGGGAAGTTTGGCCATTGTGCTTGCAGCTTTGGCCATCTGAGATGGAAACTGGGGAGTACTGTGGTTGATACATGAAGGAGAGGAAAGAGAGGAGATCTGCACAAACACCAAACCAGACTCCTTGAAGGTGAAGCTACTGAAGATCATTGAGGTGACAGGGTAAAGACAATCTGGGATTCAGTTCAGGAATGGGCTGACCCCATGTCCCAGGACCGAGAGAGCCACTGGTTGATATATCTATTGGCTTGTTGCCATGTAGATTTATGTCCCACAGTTAGGGTATGAAATCTTAAAATATAATGACATCCAGAAGATTTGTTACATACAGTGGAACATTATAGTTTCAATACTTGGAGCAAATCCTACCAATTATTGATCATTGTTAAAAGATTAATTTGAACCAGCACTCAAATTCAAATAAGTAAGCATGCCAGCAAAATTATTGAGGCAAAAAATATCAATGTATGCCTTCTGGTTTCTGAATCATTCTTGCAGATCACTTTCAATAAACATGTAACACCTACTTTATTTTTAAATAATGACATCAAATGTTCCAGAGAACTTGACCTTCTCCAGAGAGAAATCAATCAAACTATGATACACAACAAATATGCTGAAACAAATATAAGAGTAAGAGAAATAAAAAGAATAGTTATTATTATAAGAATTATTTCCTTTTCCAGAATTTATCAGGCTAGGAAGTCCTACCCTCAGATTTATCAGGCTAGGAAGTCCTAGACTTAGCTATGAAATGAAAACAAAGGAAGTAATTTAGAAATTCTGAGTAAGAAAATATTTAGGTGCTGATAACACAAAGGTCAAGGGTTTGGATCCCTTTACCAGCCAGCTGCCAAAAAAGAAAAAGTTATTACATACATATTAAAGTATAAAATCTTATTAAAGAGTCAAGACTAGCAACAAGAAAGAATTTGAAACAGTGCAAGATAACATTTAATTAGAAGTTGTAATTTAAATTAGAGAGACCAGAATGGCAGATATTATGCATGGGGGCTGGTACATAGTCAGTTTAACTCATGACTGAAAGTAAATAGAAAATACTCATGTAGTGCTAATTACATGGCAGGCACTGTTCTAAGTGATTTAAGTATATCAACTGATTTAATTCTCACAACAACCTGATGAGATAGGTTTTATTATATTTATTTTACAGATGAGGAAACTATGGTACAGATCAGTTAAGTAATTTCCCTATGTCATGCAGCCAGTAAGTGACAGTGCTAGAGATATGACCCCAGGCAGACTAGGTCCAAAGTCTGTGATCTTAAACCAAATAGCATCTCATATTTCTTCTTCTAGTAGTAGTAATAATAATAAGTTTTTTGTTGTTATTTCCTACGTTAATACCTGAAGTGAAGCTTCAGATGTTAAATGAAATACATGTCACTGATCATTGTTATATTACAAAACTTATCCAGAATATCCCATCTTCCCATCTTCCAGAATATAAAGCACAGACTGCACAAGCAGCCTGAACATTATCCAGCCCAGTTATGTGAAGCCTCAGTTGCAGCCCCACAGCCCATTCTGAGAAGCTCCTTATGTGCAGGTTGCTCTGATTTGTGCCATGGAGACATGGCCCACCGCTCCAGGCATGAACACCTGCCCCAAAGGCAGCCATCTGAAGATGGGCCAGCAACTGTGGGTTGGCCTCACTGGAGCCCTTTGACCAACACCGTGGGGATGGGACAAGTAGACTCTCTCCCTTTGAGACTTTTCATGTGAGTCATAGAGAAGATGCTGAATGAATGAATGAATGAATTGGTGTTGAATTAGAGACAAACACAGAGAAAGCAGAAAAGAGAAGTCATGAAGCAGTGGAAAACATAACAGGAGCTGTGAGTATACAGGGGAAGTAGGATCAGCCAGCCGTGGGGTAGGAGAGAAAAAACAAGTGAATAGCGGGCTCTGAGGAACTGAGTCACAAACTAGGCTGTTGGTGAAGACTGCAGGTGAGCTCTGGTTGATGCTGCATTACCAGAGCTACTGGCATCTTGAAACATCATGAGTGACATCTTCCATGAAGCCAGCAATGCAGTTATGGAGATGGTTTCTTATCCTCTAGGTTCCCGTGTATCCTTATAATAAAATCCCATTCACTGAAATATTTTGATTTTTTTTTTTTTTTTTTTTGCGTCTTGCAACTGGAAAGAAACTAACTAACGCAGGGACGTACAATCCTAGCCTTTCCCTTCTCTTTTTTCCCTCTGCTCCCATATGCCATTATCAAACCGTCGAACCCCTCCTTTCCACACCTACCTCTTGATTGGAGGTCCTTAATCCTTCTACCTGGATGATGACAGTGGCCTCCTAGCAGGGCCTGCTTAAAAAACCTCAGAAACATAATTTTCTAATTTGTTAAAAAATTGTTCTAATGATGAATTTCAATGAGTTTTGGGCTCGTTGGTTAAAAAACTGTACATCAGCCCCTTTTGATTAGTATGCTGTTACAACTGATTAAAATCAGAGAACACGGAAATTTCCTAGCAGAATTTCCATAAAAATGCTTGCGAAATGGGTATGTGGGATTGAGAAAATAATTATCATGATTTATAAGCACACTTCTTCGTTTGGGTCTGCTTTAGTTTGGTGAGGTATCTTTTATCAGCCATGACAGCCACTAAAACCCAGTGTCAAAATATACTGATCTGGGCCGGCCTGTGGCTCACTCGGGAGAGTGCGGTGCTGACAACACCAAGTCAAGGGTTAAGATCCCCTTACCGGTCATCTTTAAAAAAAAAAAAAAAAAAAAAAAATATATATATATATATATATATACTGATCTTCTGGAAGCCAAGATTTTCAAAATAATGAATCATAACCCATTTTATTGCTCACATTTTAGGAAGAAAAAATATTTAAAAATATTTTTAAGGGCCGGCCTGTGGCTCACTTGGGAGAGTGTGGTGCTGATAACACCAAGGCCAAGGGTTCAGATCCCTTTATAGGGATGCTGGTTAGCTCACTTGGGAGAGCATGTTGCTGACAACACCAAGTCAAGGGTTAAGATCCCCTTACTGGTCATCTTTAAAAAAAAAAAAAATTTAAGTGCTATATATTATCTCATTTAAAAATTATTTTTGAGTCTATGTTTTATAACATACACAAGATGGTACAAATATTATATATAGTTGTACAAACTCAATACATTTTAATGGATGAGGTGTGTAATAAAAAAATGGGGGACCCCGACCTGCAAGATAAAATATTAGGTCTTCAAGGTTTTTCTCCAGCTATCCTCCCCTTTCCGTACCTCTTCAGCCATTCACCACAGTTTCTCCATTCCCTTGGAGCTTTCAATTTCTGGAAGCTAATGCTACTTCAAGGCCCCTTCTGGCCCCCTCCTTCATCAGGTGACCTCAGCTGACATGCCTTTCTCCAATCCCGGTGGTCAAATTTTATTCTTCAAAAAAAACCTCATCATTCCTAATTTTTCATTTTTGCCCAAAGTAGTGATACGGACACCAGTTTAAAATAACTCAGTGTGGGGGCTGGCCCGTGGCTCACTCGGGACAGTGCGGTGCTGATAACACCAAGGCCACGAGTTCGGATCCCATATAGGGATGGTCGGTTTGCTCACTGGGTGAGCGTGGTGCTGACAACACCAAGTCAACGGTTAAGATCCCCTTACCGGTCATCTTTTAAAAAAAATAAATAAATAAAAATAAAATAAAAAAAAAATAAAATAAAATAACCCAGTGTGTAATATTTTAGATCTGTTCTGTTTTGTTTTGTGTTGGACTACAAATTAGATTCTAACATTATAATTGCATACCAACAGTGTTTGTTTAGATTTACCTGCATGGTTGCCAATAAATTGACTCATTGTTCCTTATAGCATGCCAGACCTTCCCCTTCTGCACTCATTTTCCATTTTCCTGCAGTACATGGGTAGGAGACAATGCCTCTGGCCCTTCCCTATGCCCCAAACACCATTTCCAAGTGCAGCTGGCCCTCCTTCCTGCTCAGCACCTGTGACTCTGCCTGAGGGCTCTCTCTGGCAGCTGCGACCCCTCTATTCCTGCCTGGAGCAGGCAAGAAGTGTGGGGGAGTAATGCCTCTTGGGAACAGCCCCCAACTGAGGTCTGAAGGGAGTTGGTGGATACCCCAGCTCTCTCGCTTTTGGGCAGGAAGACTCTGAGACATTTTCTACACTGACATCAGGGCTCCTCAGTAGGATTAAGCTCCAGTTGCCTGTGCTGGTGACTCGCTTGATAATGTACCTTTCTTGGTTTCCTTTCCTTTCCTCTCTTACTTCCCCAATTGTCTACAGGTATTTCCTCAGAACACCTCTCAAACTACTTGCATTCAGATCAGAGTATATTTTGGGGGGAACCCAAACTAAGTTTCTTAGAAGTTCCCTTAGTGCAGGTCTATTAGTGGTAAATTCTTTTGCTTATCTGAAAACATTTTCATTTCAATCTTGGAAAATAGTTTTGCCGGATATATAGTCCTAGGTTGTTAGCTCTTTCCCCTCAAACTTTGAGAGTATTTTTCCGCTATCTACTGTCATTCTAATCACTGTTTCTTCGTGGGTGATCTGTCTTTTTTCTCGAGAAAAGATCTTTCCTTTGTCTCTGGTGTTCTGCAGATTTCACTATGATACAACTAGGTTTAGATTTTTCAGAAATTTATCTTCCTTCACATAGATTGTTCTTACTGGATCTGTGGATTCTTGTTTTTCACTGTTTTGAAAAATTCTTAGTTATGATCTTTTTAAACATTGTTTCTTTTGCGGTCTCTCTGGTCTCTCCTTCTGAAACTCTAATTAGTTATATGTTAAACATTTTCTAATGTAAACACTGTCCAACATTTAAACATTTTAAGAATTCTTGTCCAGATACCCAGTTTTTTTTTTTTTTTTTTTAAAAGATGACCGGTAAGGGGATCTCAACCCTTGGCTTGGTGTTGTCAGCACCACGCTCAGCTAGTGAGCAAACCGGCCATCCCTATATAGGATCCGAACCCGCGGCCTTGGTGTTATCAGCACCGCACTCTACCGAGTGAGCCACGGGCCGGCCCCCAGATACCCAGTTTTTGCTTCAACTTTTTCTAATCTTGCTGTTTAATCTCTCCATCGAGTTTTTAAAAATTTCCATAATTATATTTTTTATTTTAAAAGTTCTGTATGGGTCTTTTCCCAATCAATTCCATCATTTCTTGTTGTCTCTTCTTTCGATTTTTGTGATTCCAACTCTCATTTCTTTAGACCTTTCATATATTAGTATTTTATATTCTTTATCTGGGCATTCTAGTATTTACAGATTGTGTGTGTTGGGGGTGGACATGTAACTCTAACTCTGCTGTTTCTGCTGATGCTCATTCATGCTGACTCCCCCCATACTGATCTTTGGTAATGAGTATATTTTTGTTTGCTCTTAATCTGTAGGAATGCTCAGGGCCTAAACTGGGATCACATTCCTTCAGAGGAAAGAAATCTGAAGTCTTAATCTGAAGTCCAAGGTTCAGCACCTTCACCTTCCTGCTGACCCAAGTTTTACACTCT